GGGGACCTCCTGCCCCTTCCCACGCCAACAGCTTCCCGTGAGCCCCACGCAGGGAGCTCCCCGCTTTTCCGGCAAACCTTCTGCAGAACCCCTTGCCCCGTCTCTGACTGTCCCGTGCCTTTCCCAGCGTTGCTGCCGCGCCGGGCACGAGGCCCACCTCCGCGCAGGCTGGCCCGGGACATGGCTGCCGCAGGATACTGGGCAGGATGCGTAGAAGCCGTTTTCAGCTTCTGCCCCCTTCCTCAACCGTACCCCCACAGCAGGAACGGCAGCGGCGGCGGCGGCAGCCGGGCCCCACGGCAGGGTTTGGCTGGGGCTGAGCCCCCGCTGTGTGCGCGGCCGGAGGCTGAACGCTCAGCACCCTCATGGACAGGTTCACGTCAGACCTCTGCTACCCGAAAGACCATTTCCATTCCACAACCTTCAGCCCGCCACATTTTATTGCCAATAGCAATGGAGCAGTATCTGTTCACACAAGATAAAGGTACTCCTAAATTGAAAACCAAAAAAAAAAAAAAAAAAACCAAAAAACCACAGCCCCTCAGATCTCAGTATAATTAGTATGTAGACATGGAAATTCTTAATAACATGCTAACTATTGTTGGAGAGATAATTTGTGGGAGTTCTCAAGCTCCCTGTCAGCACTGCGTATCTGCTGGTTGGCATTGTTTAAAAGACAAAAAAGTTTAAAGCCTTTCTGCACACCAGCCAATTTTTTATTCAATAAGTCAGATAGAAGTAGAGCCAAACTGAAAAACTTCTGCCATTTTATGCACCATGGAAACAAGAAACTTGTCAATCTGAAATTACCTATTCTACATCCATCTGAGATCAACTTTTACTGCAGTATAGCTGAGAGGATCGGATCTACAGCCTGTGTTTTTCCATGGGAGATGGACATAATTTATTTTTTGTTTCATTTTCAAATAGGTACAGATATTAAAACATAACTCAGATTTCTGTCAAGGTGCATGTTAAACTGCATTACAGTCTAATAAAAGCTATAAACATTTCTCCTCATGTAATTTCTCACAGCAATGTCAACAAGAGGATATAAAAATATTCAGTGTTCATCTGTAAATCCCACTGTGATAAAACTGCACACTGATTTCCTAAGTGATCTCATATATACTGATTTTCTTCTACAGCTGAAATATTGCTTCCTTGAGCCCTATGAAAGCTACTTATTTTTAACAACTCATACTAATTTTGTATTTTTTCCATAAATGAAACACTGCCACTTTTTAAATTAGAGATAATTTGTCTGATGGACTACTTTAGCCTGAAGGTTTACTGTGAGTGTTTAATCCATAGCTTTTGTACCTTTCAAATGCTTATTTGCGAAGGCCTCAAAAATACATTTTAAAATCCTCAAAATAGCAAGACCCTTGAATGTACTCATGTGCTTAAGTGTCATGTGCATCATATTATCCTGTTCAGTGGGATTCCCCAAAGCCGTACACAGCTTAAGCACTTTTCTGTGTCAGGTCTGAAACTCTCATATTAATTAAGTGTGCTCTGAGCAGAATTAATGCTTGCAACTGCCTACAGTGCTCATGGCAGCTACTAGGCTCTCTAAGCTTGGACTTGCAACTTTATTAAAACAGAACGAGCAGCGATAGCACATTTTCGGTATCTCTAGGGATCCAGAATCCAGGCAGAGCCAGGTGACACGGAGAGGGAAGGTTTATATAGGTTTAGAAGGTTTAGATGTTTAGCACCTTCAGATGCCAGAGGATTCAGCAAGACAGATAAAGTAGGGGCAACTCCGCTTCTTCGCAAGAAGGCAGTAGTTGAATGGGATATGTAGCTAACTCTTACCAAATGTAAACTCCAGTAAATCTCTGATTTCGCCAGCATGCCAGGCAGCAAACTGGGAAGTTAAAGAGCAGGTATACATGTATGATTGAACACCCTGTTACTGTACTTACATAAGGCACTAATACTGGGGTGAAAACTCTTTCCCATCTCCACTAACAGCCTCCACATGACTGTTTCATAAGTGGGGAAGAGGATCTCTGAGGCCTGATTATGCATTGCAGCTGTAACTCAAACTACTCAGAATGACTACTAATCATTTACGAGAGAAAACCATCATTGCAGAATGGTTATGCTTCATCTCCGTAGGTCTTCTCATCAGAATCAGGTACCCTTTCTGGAGGTCATCTGTATCCAGAACTAGTTATTCAGTTTCATATGGGTGTGAGTGGGTGAAACAGGAGCGCAGACTATTTAATATACCTCCTCTTGGATTAAAATTCATGACTTATTAATTGCATTTTAAATATGTGCTAACTGGCACAAAGAATATGGTCTTAGAAGAACTCTAATGCTGATCAATTACATCATATTATCATCATGATATAGGAACACTGAGCATTCTCTCCTTTATGTACTTTCATGTGATTTCTTAAATCCCAGCTGGAGAAAAATACGTCTTGTCTTCTGTCTAGTTCTACCTCAGGCACTACAGCTCTAACATTTTGCTTTCAGGTTCTACTACCATCAGTATTGAGATCAGAGATATTAAAACGTAGAAAATCTGACATGTTATGTCAAATTACAAAGAAAGTATTTGAGAGCAAATGGAAGAACAGACAGACTGAATTAAGTAGCAGAAAAGGGGAAAGAAATAGAATGAGAGGAGGGAAGATACAGGCAAATATACAGAAGAGAACGATTAAGGAAACAATCTAGCATAATCAGATGGGTATGAAGAAAAAACATTAAACAATGTTGAAATCACAAATGTAGAGATATACATTCATACATAAAACATGTAGCTACAGATAGCATGGGCATGATCCCGTTAACGCTTATGCACATACAAGATTTTATTCACAAGAATTGTGTAAGTTTGAGGGTAACACTCATGTGAGTAACATGATGTGCAAGAGGTTGAAGGATTTGGCTTTTCACCATTTTTCCTTGTGTACATTATGTACATCTGTAAAACATCTAAGCAGGCATTTTAACTTTGAAGAAGACAAAACCTAAAAATAATAAGACCTAAGGGAAACCTTTACCATGAAAGCTGGTGGAACTGCAGTTCTACAAAGAACCAAGAGGAATACCCTGAAGACTAATTATTTGACAATAAAACTAATGTTATTGTTCCGTTTGAAGCATAATAAAGTAAAAGCTGCAGTTTGCATAGATGTGGAATGCTTGTCAGAAGAAAGCATGATCGATGTGTGAATCTGGAATCAGGAAATCCTGATTAACCCTGTAACTGCTATCTGCAAGAAGTCTAATAGCAACTCTGAAATGGGTGCACACGACTTATTCTTACGGGATTGCTTCTGCAGTTTAATGAGACACCGACTGTTAGCTTACCTCAATCGTGTTTATAATAATGAGACAGCTTTATAAGGCAATAAGCAACTGGTTTACCTAATAACAGACTGATTCTCATGAGTGACAGAAGGTAAGTTAGATGCCTTGTCCGTGTGATACAGGTTATTGTCCTCATTCTATGGATAGGAAACCAAAGCCCAGTATGCCACTTTCTAGGATCCATCAGGAAGTCTGGTAGGGCCAGGAATTGAGTTTACGGGTCAAGGTTGTTTAGAATGACAGCACAATTTTCTTCTAGAAGATGACATCTGATACTCTATTGGGAATGGTATTTTACAGGATGCTAAAAAACATAGTGTTAAAAAAAAAAAGCACCAAAAAACAACAACAAAAAGAGAGTCCATCTTCAGTAATACAGTAACTAAACTTCTTACAAAGTATTCTTACTTTGAAACTACAAAAATGGCATTAAAATCCATTAATCAAGCAATCAAAACCCCATGACCTTGCTCCTCCAAGAACTTCTGCCTGTGGATTGACAAAATGGTGCAAAATCTCAATATCATACATATGAGTGCCCAAAATATATGGAGCCAGAACTTCCCAATATTACTGTTATCCTGCCAGAACACCAGATCCCCTCTTCTCAGATGGTTCAGCAGACTTCTAGGCTGTTATCCTATCATCTCTATCCACTTCTGCCAGCACCATGCCTCAGCTTCATTTGCAAAATTGGAAAGATGCAAAAAATATGCTTTCACAAGACTAAACAAAAGTGAAAAACAATATAAAATAATAAATACTCTTAGAACAGTCCTCACTGAAACAGCATCAGTCTTATTTCTTAATTTCTACAAGATATCTATACTGCAAAGTGCATGCTAGAAATATTTCTACCAAAATCAAATTACTCACTCAGCAGCATCCACGGCAAGTATTTATACAGGCCTTTTCTAAGGAATATATTAGTTTCTTCATAGATAATACAAAATAACCCATGATTTAGATTATTCCAAATCCAACACTCAGAAACTGCCAACTATTACAACACACGGAGGTTTATTGTGGAAGGGGATGGATTTTAGAAGTCACAATACTGTGAGTTTCACAGAAAGTATGCTTCCCCTGAAACGATACTTGAATACCCTTGCAGGAGGAATTACCTTTAGCCTGAACAATATAATTTCTGGCAACGCTCCCTAAAGCGGAGCACGCTTGCCTCTAAAAATAAGTCATGGCGCTATCGGCAGCACAAATTACTTTTTCCTGGCAGGGAGAGCCCGACGCCGGCAGAAGAGACTGCAAGGGGCTGAGTCGCCCCGGGGCCCGGGCAGCCGCCCCACGCCCTGGCGAGGCGGTCGCCGCGGCCGCCACCCACGCCGGGTGCGCCCCGCGTGGCGGTAACACGCGCCCGTAAGGCTGCCGGCACGCGTGGCCGCCGCCCGCGGGTGGCATTCCGGGGGGTGGTGTTTATAAGCGTGTGTAAAGACGTACGTGTGCACGCGTGCACCCCTACACGCGCACACACAACTACGAGTATGTCCGTGCCTCTCGCTGCGGGTCCGCCTGCCCTCCTGGCACCAGCCCCGGGCAGGGCAGACCCCGCCAGCCCTCCCGCACGTCCCGCAGGGCGGGAGGCCCCGGCCCCGGCCCCGGCCCCGGCCCCGGCCCCGGCCCCGGCCCCGGCCCCGGCCCGGCCTTACCCTCGCCGTTCCCCTCCTGCTCCGCCATGGCAGCAGCCCCGCGCCGTCGCCATGGCGACGCGGGCCCAGCCGGGCCCTCTCTCCCCGCCCGCCGCCGCCGCGTCTCCCCTTGCCCGGGCGCGGCGGGGCTGGCTGCCGGCGGCCTGCCCTCCGCCCTGGCACGCTCTGCGCTCCGCAGCCCGCTGACATGCCCAGCAAGTGAAAGACGATGGCAGCAGGCCGCTGGCGGCTCTGCGCGCCGCCCCCGGGCCCCCGCAGAAGGCCCGTCAAGCCCCAGCTTTGGATCCCAGCGCCGAGGCCCGGCCGCGGCCCGCTCCCCGGGCCCCGGGGCCCCGCGCCGCCCCACGCTGGGGTTCCAGGAGCCGCTCCCGCTTGTCCCGCAGGGATTTCCATTTTTAGGTGGCCGAAACCCAGCTCTGGCCTGCGAGGTGGGGCCGGCGAGGCGTCGGCGCCCACGCCGCCCTCCCTGCGGCCAGGGCCCAGACGAGCCCCTTAAACTTGCCACTTCACTGTATTCTGTTTCTTTTAAAAATAGAGTTTCCCCAGCAATTGCAGAGATTTCCATGTATCTGAGCTTTAGAAAGTGAAATAACATTTTATTCTAAATACCACCGCGCCAAAGCAGCTAAAATATTCTGTCTTAGCGATATTAAATAAAACTCTGCAGTTTAAATTTAGCTGTGTGTTTTAGCAGACACGTTTGCAATGCCTGGTTCTTCTGACTCTAAAACAACTGTGAAAGTAGAAAAAAAATATAAATATTAATATTCTGGCAAGATGCAACCATATATTCATAGAAAATAAATATTTATGAAATTCCTAGAACTAAAACCTTGTCCTCACCACAGCAGGTGCTTGTTTGTCAGATGTTAAATTTTTGCAAAGCCTGTGTGGATGACTCGTCCTTACACGCTCATCTCCACCTCTCCAATAGTTACGATATCCTCAGTATTCATAGAAGCCTGAGGTTTCAAAAAAAACACATTGAACCTTTTAAAAGAATCACTTTTTTACAGCATTTTAACATCTGCTATTTGCCTTCCAGCCACTTATTTCTGCATTTTTATTTAAAGTGGCTCAAAGTAAAGAGGGTATAATAGTTACTCAAGAGAATACATCTTTACTCTGTTGGGAAAACAGCTGATTATGCTAACAAAGCTGATCCCTCTGAAAGGTTATTGACAGACTTGAAGAGTTTATTAAAGTAACCAAATATTTCAAATTACGTGATTGACTACAGGAGCAGCACAGATTTGTTTCCCCTCAAACTGATAACAGAAGTTTTGGTGGGAATAGCATGGCAGCGGAAGTTAGAGGGTGCAGCAGCAGCAGAAGAAAAGGCTCTTACCTTCCAGTTTTACAGGGATCCCGTTTCTTATTCCCTCAACCCCTTCACACAGAAAAGCTACGTCTTTCCGGGTTGTAGATCTATGGTGGTGGATCAATCACATGTTTGAAACTGAAGAAAAGTACGAAATACATTGTTCTGGCAAGGACAGAGCTTTCTTATCTCTTCCCTTGCCTAACCCAAATGTGGGATTTCATGTTCTTTAATATCGTGCCCAGCATTAGATTTCTTACATCATTTTCCAGATCAACTGATTAATCACAGGATATTCACAGCTCTTCTACAAATGCTACACTAACTCAAAATGTTTACCACATTTCCCTAATAAAAGCATTAAAAAATCCTGTTCTAGTCATTCAGGTTTTCATGCCAAATCCATACCCAAAAATATGAACAGCATTCATCTTTAAAATAGATAAGAATATTGCCTATTGTGCAAATTCATTGAGATTCTTGTGGGTTTACAGTAGCCTTTGGATTGAAGTGAGTCACTGCAAACGTGACGTGGTAGGACAGTAACTCCACTCAGGCCACTACCTTTAACATCTTCCCAGCAATTTCACCAGGGCTTGCGCTTGGCTTTCCTCACCACCCTTTCCTATTTGACACATGCTTGTCTTTGTTCCCTCCAAGAGGGACAATAAAGAAAGCAGCGTGTAAAAGCCGATTTAGAAAGGGGAAATTGTGAAGTACGCAACAACTATGACAGGTTGTGTATGCCACAACGTCTATGTCCTGTTATAGCAGCTGACACCAGCCCTCACGAGCAGCTACAGTAGTTCCTAGGGGAGAGCATTGTTCTGAGTATATAAAAGTATTGGTCAAATCTTGGATGTTTGTACTTGTTAAGTCTGATACCTTTAGCCCCGCTACAGAACTTTTTATGACTTACAGTTAATACTATTTCAGCAAACAGTATTTTGCACTGTCCTGCCTGTGTTGTTGAGATTCCACTCAGGACAATTACTGTAAATCAAAGTGCTTCATTTGCATCTTCTGCTCCAGGCTGGAGTTTCCTTTTGCTTTCAATAGATTGCAGCCAAGCACCAGCACCTGTTTCCCCTTCTTCCCCCAATTCCTGACACGCAGGGCTTTGGTGTCTTGCCTATCTCCAGGAGCAGAACAAAATATGCAATGAGAAAACACTTGAAAATGAGAACTTGCTGCTTTAAAATTTCCTGGCGACATATCTTGAAAAATCTATGTAGGAAAAAAATGTTAACAATTATAATGCAGATTAAATATTGGACCTGAACCGCATGACTGTTTCCCTTCTAACTTAATGCACAGACATCGCAAACCAAGGGTATGAGTGGGCTGAAACAACTAATCGCATTTTGGCAGAGACAAGTACAAAAGGAAACCCAGAACTACTAATTCAACAGCTTGAAATATCAGCTGCTGCATGCAAGATCCTTAAAGAGCTCCTCTGAAGAGAACATACCCTTTTAAACTTGTAATTTTTCATTTAAAAAATGTCAGAAAATATCTCAGAGAAAATATGGAAGAAACCAGCATTGTTGATAATAAAGCCAGAATCCACTGAAGTCTAATAGATGTAAGGTACCCTTGCCTCTGCACCTAATTTCATCACATACATTCCTTTCAGCTATCAGGGTCCTATCACACATTTTGTCTATTTTCCATGCATATGTTCAGAAATTTTGTTCAGCAATAAAAACCAGCTCTGAAATGGGAGAAGTGATGTAAAAGCTAAAGCAGTTCAAGGAGATATAATGACGTCCTGCAAAGCAGTGTCTCCCCATGGCTTCAGGGTTGCAGCGTGTGGACACATCTTTGCTCCAAACACTTGCTGAAGACCTTCACTATAAAACTTCTTCTGTGGGTCCTTGGGGACCATATAACTGAAGACACAAAGAAGCATATTCATTTGCCCTTCACACAGAAAGAAAGTGAATAGCTATGGTTCTGTGACAGGAGTCTACCTATAACCCCTCTGTAGCTAAATGGGTACAGCCCTACCACTCGGGAGGTGTCTCCTTGTCACTGTACCCTTTTTCACCAATATAACACAAATGGCCCAAGTGCATTTAGCATCTTCATTCCATTCTTCCTCTGTGATCAGCAGCTGATCTAAGTGACTCAGAGACAGCTTCTTCAAAACAGAGTATTATCTAAACATTATCTGTTCACCCAAATGATACACAGCAACCAGATAAAAATGAGAAAAATACTCCATCATTCCTTGTCTATGGTGTGTCTTTCCCTTCAGATTTTGAGTAAATTACACTGAGAGCAGCTACCTCATTCTTTGATGTGTGGGAGGGAAGACAGTTTCTCTTCTGGCTTGTTCTCTTTGTCACTGAAGGCTTTGATCCTGTGCTTGGACCAGCTGAAGAGAAACCTAACAGAGTGGGTAGAGACAGACAAATAGACATGTCCACCATTATTTGCTCTACCAATGACCTCTTCCAGGCAGCTAGTATTTTCATATTAACCTTATCTGTCATCATTTTGTTTTCTTTTTGAAAAATAGAAGTCTTCCTGCTCTGACCTACAGGACATCAAAAAACACATAAACTGTCAAGGGAGTTCCTTTATTTTTCATACAGGTAATAAATCTAGAAGTCCAGAATCTGGTATCTTAAATAAAATATCAGGGTATGATTCTTTGAGACATGTGGAGTTCACCAATGCTGAAAGGGGAGGATCCAGCTCACTCTTCAACTCTTGCCCTTCCTTCTCTACTGCTGGCTGCACATCCTCCTACCTTGTGCTGGTTCTGCCATTCATTGAGAGCAGATATGAGTCACTGAAGTAGTAAAAAAAAACAATCCATCAAAGAGTTTTCTGCCGTATTAAGAAATTCAGTAAAGGATCTGGCAAGCATCTGAATCGGCGCAGCCAGGAAGACGGACCATGCAATTAGAAGTGAAGAAGAAATAGGGAGAAAAGCAGAAAGGGTGAGATGTTCTTTTAGAGGGAGATGGCTCAGTGGTTGTCTGAGTCTGTAAGTAAAACTCAGAAGGAAGGAAGGGGCAAAAATAGCTTTGAAGACCGCTTACAATAGCAGCATCTCAAATCCTTCTCAGTCCATGGGATGGCTTTGGCACTGTCCTGGCAAATATCTCTTGCTGCTCATACACAGCTACAACTCTGTGGACCTTTAGCTGCTCCTGTCCAGCTTCAACAAATCTGCGTTTGAGGAAAAGTGACTGAACATGCATTAAAAATGAGCTACAAGGAAAAAGGAAACATTTATTTCCCTCAGCAATATTCCTCAATGTCAAGGAGCTACTGGCAGTGCTCAGCCTCTGGGACTACGCCTAAAGAGCCACAGCAGAAAAAAGCTCTCACTTTTATATGTAAGTGCCAGGATGCTGTTCTCCATCCCACCCAGGCGCAGAAATGGCCCTAGAGATCCACATATTTTAACCTTCAGACTTTATTACCATTAATTATGTCTAGAAGTGAAGCCAGGATCCCTGAGAACACGGTGGCAGGAACAAAACACAATCATCCATCTGCCTAGCAACACGAGTTGCCATGAGTACTTCTCCCCGTGATCCACAGGCAGCGGGGGCTCGCCACTGAGCACTGAGCCAAGTTCAAGGGCCCCATACGGGTAAAGAAAGCCTGCTTCCTCGAATAAAGACCTTGGTTTCCATGTCCAAGACACCTGTGTTCCTCTGGAGACTAGAAGGTGTCAGCCAGCAGCCTGAAATTCAGGAATGAGGGACTTCTGGAGCAGCAAGATGTCATCAGTGGAACTACTCATGCAAGTAACAAAAGAAATTACATTGGCAGCGTGCATGCAAACTCCATTCTTCCCTTCTCTGTTTCTTTTGAAAAAGCTCTTTGCACATGTTTCAATACCATGCCAAAAAATCCCCAATTAACATACTATCAAATCACTGAATTTACGTACTTAGGAAGAAAAGAAGACAATCCAATGAGTGGTATGTAA